GTCAGAATAATGTTAGGCATATGCTCTTTGCTTAATATGTATGTACAGAATATTTGGAAGTTAAGAATTGATTAGACTAGCGAATTTAGGAATATTTGAGGAGGGGGGGGAGAGGGAAATGACAACTGCAAATGTAGAATATGCTGTAAAACTTCAGTTTGTTGCCTTAAACAAACTGATGTCTGAATTTTGCTGTGTTTCCATTTTTTTTTAGAGATTTTATCCTACCTTTTTGTTTTGTTTTGTTTTGTTTTTTGGCATTCTTCTATGCCATCCTCTCCAGAAAGTAGTTATATAGCTGGTTAATTCATTTAACGGTGAGAGTAAACGAGTAATTCCTGCCATACTGAAATTGACTGACTGTATATTTCAATAGCAATTGTATGGGGTGCTTGAATTTAATAAGCGGTTTTTATGGAGTTTACAGAAATAGGCTTTAATTTTCAAGTGAATTGTTTGCCAAACCAAGTAACTCTGTTAAATATTTGGAGGATTGAAAGAACATCCCTGTTTAAACTCGTTTCAAACTTTTTAAAATTTTTTTGTACTATGTTTGTTTTTTTCCTCTGTTAATCTTTTATATTCACTTAATGCTCTCATACATGAGTACTTTTATTCCAAAAGTAGTGGGTTTTCTCTACTGGAAATTTTAAATAAACCTGTCATTATTGCTTACTTTGATTAAAAATTTGTTACTTCCTTTCTTTGTATATTAGATTTAAGGATCAGTAAGATTTGTTACTCTTTTGAATTTTTTTAAATCAGATACTACCTGCCAAATAAAACAAGCTAAATTATTAGTAGGGAGATGGGAAGCTTGAATCATAAAGAGAGCAAGAATCCCTTTAAATTAGAAGAGGAAGGACATGGAGACTTGAAAAATTAATTTTTAAAAATAGTAAAATCTAAATGTATAAGCCTTTGAATATAAGGAAATACAACAACAACAATTATTAATAGGTACCATTCAGTCAGCCAAAAGAACAAATTTCTGTTTTTCATATGAGAATATAGAGGTGACTGAGGAAGAGAAAATGATGACTTTGGTAGTTTTCTTAATGGTTGAGATGATCCAGCAATCTCCCCAGGCAAGGGGTGTGGGAGTTTGCCCAGGCGGATCGTAGATTTTGAGCATGCTTACCTTCTGGCCAAAATGATGTCACTCTTCTCCTTTACATTTTTATGTACTTCTGGAATGTGTACCACCCTTAAAATATAAGGATTCTTTTCCTCTCTCCACCATTTTAAACCCAGTTTTAAAAAAACACCTTGTGTTTCCCCTATAAACGCACAACATTTATTCTGCAAGTTATGACCATGCAAAAATTTCTGCTAAGCTTATTGTTGTCTCCAAAACTATGGTACAAGTAGAGAAAGTCTGGGCCAGAAGTTCTACTTTATTACACAAATTCATGCTCTTTTTTGCTGAGTGACTCAAGTTCTGTGAACCTGTCTTCCCATTTGTTAAGTGAAGACAATTGTGTCCTTATCACAAAATTGAGGTGAGTTTCATGTATATAAAAATACTGTACCTTAGAAATATAACTGCCATGAAAGTATACAGGCCACTGTTTTTTTGAACCTTCTCCTGTAGTCTGTTTTCCACTTTATCTGCATCATTACCGGCATAGGTGATCTCAGTCAATGATGGTGATTGATGATGATAATTTTAAAATTAAAAAATTACTAAAAACTATTGGGCTTAACAGTGAAGTATAACTGAAAATTGTCTAAAACATAACAAGCTGGGGTCAGAATTTCTCACCCTTTTCCTGGTGGAAAGCTCTTGTTTGCTTTCCTTGAATTCCTGTGGTTGCCTGCTGGGCAGTTAACACAAGTCATTGGTTGTAGCATTGCTGGTAGCCACCCTGAAGCTCTGTCAGGTAAAACATCAGATATCCAGTAAATTGTAACCTACTGGGTGGGGACTCCTGGAGTTTGCACTTCGGTGTAGGCTCTTCATGCTTAAGGGCAATTATTTGTAATTTTGGTAAAATCTTAGTCAAGACCATTGTTACCAGTCATAGGAATCTATTGGTCTCAATTACTTGTTTGATTGCTTGGAAAAAAATCCAGTTCAAACAACAAAAAGCAATGTGATTCAGAATAGACATATTTTCTGCCATTAAGAATCAGTAGCTGGCATCTCATCTTTGACAAAGGAGCCGACCACCCTCATTGGAGGAAAGATACCCTATTTAATAAACGGTGTTGGAAAAACTGGATCTCACCCTGCCAAAGATTAAAACTAGACCCATACCTATTACCACGCACTAAACTAAGATCGAGGTGGATTAAAGATCTAAACATTAAGTCAGAAACACTAAACTTGCTGGAAGATAAGTTAGGTAGAACTCTTGAAGACATTGGCATAGGAAAAGACTTTATGAACAAATCTTCAGTAGCACGGGAACTGGCACAAAGAATCAACAACTAGGATCTCATCGTATTAAAAAGCTTCTGCACTGCAAGAGAAACTACCAACAGAGCTAAGAGACAACCTACAATGTGGGAAGAAATATTTAGCAGCTATAGCTCAGACAAAGGTCTACTATTGAGAATATATAAAGAAGTGAAAAAAATCAGGCCCCCCAAATCAAAGACCCAATTCAAAAATGGGCATCCGAAATGAACAGACATTTCTCAGACAAAGAAGTAAAAACAGCAAATAAATATATGAAAAACTGTTCAACATCACTGGTCATTGGAGAGATGCAGATGAAAACAACACTGAGATTCCACCTCACCCCAGAAAGAATGGCTGCTATCAAGAAATCAACCAATAACAAATTCTGGCAGGGGTGTGGGGAGAAAGGAACCCTTCTCCATTGTTGGTGGGAGTGCAGACTGGTGCAACCACTGTGGAAATCAGTATGGAGATACCTCAAAGAACTAGGACTGAAGGTCCCATTTGACCCAGCTATTCCCCTGCTGGGGATCTTCCCCAAAGAATTAAAAGAATCATACCACAGTGATATATGTGCACCTATGTTTATAGTGGCACAGTTTGTAATAGCTAAAGCTTGGAAGCAGCTCAAGTGCCCATCGACTGGAAACTGGATAAAGAAGGTGTGGTTTTTTAAATAAAATGGAGTACTACTCAGCCATAAAGAATGAGAAACTAGAAACATTTATAGCTAAATGGATGCATATTGAGGCCATACTCTTAAGTGAAATAAATAGGACACATAATACCAAATAGTTTCTCTAGTGTGAGAAATTGAAAGTGTAAATAAGGATGAAAATGATTAAAATGAATAATTGATAATTTGAAATCAGAAAAGGTCCAAGGGTTTGGGGATGGTGGGAGGGGAAGGGGAAAGGGAAGAAGGGAAAGGAAAAACTATGAGAAAAAAAAATGGAATCAAAGTCTGTAAATAGGGAAGGGTGGAGGGGGCGAAGGGTGCACTGGTAATGGGAGAAAAAACAAGAACTAAGATACATCATATTCTGGTACAAACACGCAATGATAAATGTAAATGTATTTTATACCTAAAATGTACCAATAAATATATATATAAATTTTAAAAAAAGAATCAGTAGCTGGGATGATTAGAAGTGGAGGACCCTGGTGCCACTGCCTCATTCTATCATTTCATAGAATTTATCTCCGGTAAGTTTCTTAATTTTCCATACCTGTTTCCTCAACTAAAATAGGATAAAGCCTATTTACAGAGTTATAATGAAGATTAAGTCAATACACGCACTTAGAACCCTTCAGTAAAAGCAAAGAAAAGCTTTTGATTCAACAGACATTTAAAGAAGACCTACTCACCTTCCAAGTATTTAATAAACACAGTGGGAAATCCTGTCTTAAGCTTACAGGGAAGAAAAACAGAAGGAAGAAACCCACCAGCTCATGAGCGCCTAGCCCACTGCATCTCAGGCACTGTGCATGGGATTTCTGTACATTGTCTCTTTCATCCTCACAGGAACATATGAGATACTATTCTGTCGTCAACTCCTGTGTCAGCTTTCTGTCACTCTTAAGTACAGGAGCTAATCAGCTTAGAAAAGGTTTACTTGGCTCACGGTTTTGGAGGTTCTAGTCCATAATTGATCGGACCTATTATTTTAGGCCTCAGATGGGAGAGGAAGCAGCACATCATAGGAAAAGCTATGCTCACCTCATGGCAAAGGGGAAATGGAAGGGATTGGTATTCCACTACCCTCTTTGAATATACACCCCAGTAACCTAACTTCCTCCCACTAGGCCCCACTTCCTGAAGATTTAACCTCCCAATGGGACTACCACAGGGACCAAGACTTCAACACAGTAGCCTTTGAAGTTTGTATGTTAACTCCGTGGCTGAGAGACTAGTTGGTTCCCCAGATATTACCATGTCTATAACAATATCCAGAATAAGCACACGGAATGAATGGAAGGTAAGGAGAGGAATATAGTGATAAGACTTTGCTGTCTCAGAAGCAGCTCTAGGATAGAGAGACCCCTCTACTCCCCAAAGCTTGCTGCATTTGTAGCAGCAGGTGAGAGAATGGGTCTCTGACAGGCCGATTGCTTACTGCCAGCTCAAAGGACCATGGGCTTGGAATACTGTATTTGGTATTTTCTCAACTGATACAGTATCAGTGGAGTCATTTAGAACAGTAGGTATTTCTGGAAAGACTATTATTTATTGCCTGCATTTTCTTATACTAGCAGAACTTAAAAAAATAATTTTCTAAATGCTTTGCTAATGTACCAGATTCAGATTTTTACTACTAGAGGTTTCACCCGATACAGAAGATGGGCAATTGGCTGCAAGACTGACAGAAAATTGAGATTGTACAAATAATAATCAGTTTACCGAAAAGACCCCTTCTTACTAAGTCTGATAAGTTTATACCAGCTACAGTTTTAAAATTCTTAAGTAGTTTTGAGGGCAGTGGTCCATAAAGTGGACGCAGTAAGGAAACCTCCAACCTACACTTTCCAGGTACCAGAACTGAAAAATCTCTTTGGAGATTTGGAAGCTCAGTGTTAGCAACAGAAAGGAAAGGCCCTAATCCATTCAGTGCAAATGTTGCACGATGATGAAAAGGCCGGGGACTGTTAAATTTAAAATCTTGGAAGCTGACAATCTGTAAATTGTTCCCTCTTCATCCAAAAAACAAAGTAATAGAGCTCTCTTTATGCCTAAACAGACTAGTTTTAAAAAGAGAGAAAAATTGCATGGGAGCTCCTTGTCAGTTTAGGGTAGCAACCGTGTGAGAACATGAGTGGGTATTTTCATCTTTCCTTGGTCTTGGTTCAGGCAGAGACTGAAGAATAGTCCCCCGTGCCTCACCTCCATCCCAGGTGTGATGTTAAGAGCAGCATGTGAGTTACATAGACTTGCTTTTTTTTTTTTGGTACCGGGGATCAAACTTGGGTCCTTGCACTTGTGCGGCAGGCAGCAAAACCACTGAGTTAAATCCCCGGCCCTAGACTTGCTTTTTAATGCCAATGCTACCACTTTCTGGCCATGGCATCTCAGGCAACTGAGTGTCAGAACTTCAGTCTCATAAAACTCATAAAATGGAAAACGAATTGTCTCTCATAGGTCACTGTGGGGCTGCATTGGTGTGATGCACACTTAATACTTGGTCCTCGGCCATACAGTAAGCACTTAATAGTGGCTTGGCTGCAGCAGTGACAAAGACCTAGCAGGCTTCATAAAAACAGCCTAGTGAATGCTCAGTAGGTAG